CCTCAACCCAAAGGCAAGCAGCTCAAGCTCTGTGGGACAGCGAACTCAGCTCCCTGGATTTAGTGCCCAGAATCCCTCCACTCCTCCTGCCAGCCTCCTGCCCCGAAGCCCGCAGCTCTACTTGCTCTTCTGGCTGAGAAGTCCCCTGCTCTTGTCAAGCTCTGGCTTCTGGTTCTGCTGCTGCTGCTCCTCTGCCATGCCTGGGGCATCACAGCTGCCTTCTGAATTGGGGGATTCACTGTACAAGGATATCAGGGTCCAGGGGATGCACTCCTCTCCTGGCTCTTGCTGGAAAGAAGAGCCTGCTCCCTGCTTCTCAGGTGGCTTATTTTATACCCAGCAGGATGACACGCACAATAAATCCTGTTAACAAGCACTCACAACTGAATCTTTCCCCCACCTTCATGCCCAGGCCCATCAAGATAGGCCTTACAGAGGCTGTAGCTAGAAGAACTAAATTAAATGATTCATTGCCCCTGTAATTTAATAAAACACCCCACTCAGGCCTTCTCATTTTGGTGAAGTAGGGCTAGCACACATGGGAGAGACCTGAGTTGACTTTAACTTCTTTCGTGTGAGGAGGTAATGACTCAGAAAGAGCTCAACTAAAGTCCATAAACATCCATTTAATTAGTTAACGTGTCTTTGGAGAAGTAATTATCACTTAGTCTCATGAGGGCACTTCAAAAAGTTCATGATGAAATTGAATTAAAATATAAAGGAATCATTCCCTGACATTTCTGAAGCCTTCTCATCAGGTTGTTAATAAAAAGGAGTTGACTTCAGGGCATTCCTCAAAGTATCAACAGCAAAATGTGACTTCTGGAGTCGTTGTGAAGATGTATTAATTGTGGATGAGGTAAATAGATGAGCTGTCACAGTCCTGCTGGAAGGTAGGTGCTTACTCAATGCCTCTAGCCTGGTCCCTGTTATGCTCTCTGAAGAACAGACTTCTATTTTCTCTTACTCCTGTGACTCCCCACAGAACAGGACAGTGACCTGCACATAGTAGTTGCTTTTTACTCAGTGATGCTGCCTGATTAGGTCCCTTGGTCATATCATGGTTAGTGAATTTGATTATTGAAGGCAAGGTGGAGGTGGGAGCCATCCAATGACACCTTGATAGAAAGACCTGGTGATTGACTTTGGAAAAACCAGCCGGTGAAACCCCCATGAAGCTCTGCTCTTCTCAGAGTGGTGGGGTGGGTCAGGAGTCAGATTCGTTGACTTGAGAGCAACTGGCTTACTATCTGGTTAATCTGGAATTCAGTAGAAGATTGCCAGAGCTCAGTCACTTTAGACATGGCTGTTATGCTTCCTTCAGGAAAGATGCACCTTGGGGTAGCCCGAGTCTATTGCAATTATGAATGCCAGTGTGTGGCTAAAGTTAAGTGCTAGCAAGAGAATCCAGAGTTTTTGTTTTCTGCTGAAATTGTCCTATGATTTGATGCTAGATAGAGTCAGAACAAGGGCACCACAAGGGAAGGATTGAAGGATTTCGTTGACTGAGAAAATGTAATCTATTGATTTATGGTGAGCTGGATGCAACTAGGTTTATAGAGAGGAAACTGCACATGCCCCTCAATCACATCATGCTCCTTGCTACAGGACACCCCAACATCTCTCAATAAAGACTGCTAAATTTCTTGGCTTCACTGTGAGCCTCCCCAAACAATATAAATAGGTGTCGTGTAGTTCTAGACCAGATTTTATTTACACAAATATTTTCTAAAAAAATAAGCACAAATATAAGGAAATAAGTAAATGGCTTATTGGTATTGCGTGCAAGAATAGAGGTCATTCCAGTTTATGGTAGGGAGAACTCACAGTGCTCATGAGGGGGAGTTTAGAGTGCTCTCTTGTTCTCTTTCCCAAGAGGCCCAGGAAGGGAGAATGTTCATTGTGACTTCTTGATAAAGACAGGAAGATGTGTAGAAGGGCAGAAGACACACGTGTGCGTGTACCCCCCTACACACACACACACACACACACACACACACACACGGAGAGGGAAAAGGAGAGGGAAAGGGAAAAGAAAGAGATATTAAGACGTATTGGGGTTCTAGTTCGTACATGCGTTGGTTTATTCCAAACAAAATCATGTTTGAACATGTCTCTGTGTTCAGGGCATGGCTGAAGACACATTCTCACAGTAATGCCGTTGCCTTGGTCTTGTTAGATTGTTCTAACGAAAAAACCCAAGTCCAATCAAAACAGCAGCCTCCCAGAGATCTGCTGGGCCAGTTAAATGAAAACACAGAGGCGTAACATCAGAGGGCTAAGGTGATTTTTTGCGATCTTTGCTGATGTTAGATGTCGTCCAGCCAGTGCTGACTGAGCAGCTGAACACACAATGGAAGGGAAGACCCTCCAGCCCTGAGCCATCCTCGTGATTGTTCTTACCTTTGAGCCCCTTGTTGCCGCCACTGTGTCAATCCAGCCTGCCAAGGGTCTTCGTCTCTTTTACTGCTCCTCTGCATCGTCAAGCATGATGTCCTTTTCCAGAGACTGATCTCTCATGATAACACGTCCAAAATAGGTGAGACAAAATCTTGCCATTCTTGCTTCCAAGAAGTCTTCTGGCTGTACTTCTTCAAAGATGGATCTTCTTGTTCCTTTGGCAGTCCAAGGGGCAGTCAATATTCTTTACCAGCACCATACGTTAAATGCATTGATTCTGCTTAGTCTTTCTTGTTCAGTGTCCAGCTTGTACCTATGCAGAGGTGGTTGAGAAGACCATGGGGGATAGTTTTGAAGGACACAGGGTGATCTGCTGGAGGGGGGAGGTGGTGCTCATTATGAAGAAATTTTATGAAAATTCAAAGCTGCATTGGTGAAGAAAAGGCCAGGCAGGTTGTTATGAACTACATCTCTTTCTTCATCATCACCATACCCCTGCTCATTTTTCAAGAGCATCAAAGGATGGCCTTCCAGACATTTTTGAGGAAACCTTACTGTATACACCCTACAGACTGGATCTTACCCCTTTGGATTTCTTTCTGTTTTGTATCCATTCCATTCCATTTCATTTCTGAAGGCTTTCAGTTTTCCTAGTTACTATTTCATACATTCCACCTTATGATTACTTATAATCACATTTACAAGGTATTTACAGCCGTTCCATCTCCTGATCCGTGCCCCATCTGCAGTTGCAGATGCCAGCAATTTTGCTTTGCCTACTTTGCCAAGGCAGTCCTTCCCTGTTTTTATTGTGAGTTCCTCCAACTTCAGGGGCTTGTCCCCCAGTACTATATCAGATAATGTTCCACTGCTACTCTTAAGGTTTTCAGGGGCGAATCCCTCACAAGTAGATAACCTCATTCTTCCTAGTCCATCATTGACCTTTCTCCATCAAAAGCAACTCTACTGATAGTTTAAATATGGGTTGTCAGCTGCCAGCATTCTAGTTGGGTCAGAAGTATGACCCACTGATAAAAGAGTGATGGAAAATGTGAATTAGAATCTACTATTTTATTTTTCATAATTTTATTAGGACAAAATTCAGACATCATACCATTCAGTAATTCAGTTGTACCAAGCAGTGTTGTACAATATTCAAAACATTTTCTTCCTTCTTGTACTTTTTGATACCAGCTCCTGATCACCTCCTTTCTTCCCTGCTGTAGCCCTCAGCCCCCATTTATTCTAGTCATTGTCTGTATAGATCAACCCATCTTGGGCTACGCATACCGAAAAACATAGAAAGATACATAACAGAGAGTTAAAAAATCTTCCAGCAGTACCAACATACAACAGAGAAAACTGCAATTTGAAAACAAATGAAAAACAACAACAAAACCCTGGAAAATATTAAAAACCAGATCAAGTTCACAGTGTATCAAAGGGGAAATCAAATGAGAAGGGTTTAACCATTCAAGTCAGGTTTTTTCTTTACATTTACTGTAATCGTCTCGCCACTGTTTTAAAAGAGCAATTTCATCTAAGTAAACAAAGAAAACTTGGATACTTGGGCTTCTTATGCAACATTCAGATAGTTTGGCAACAGGGGATCAAGGGTCTCTGGTGACAACCACCAGTAGAACCTGATAGGAGCTCGTCATCTAAAAGCAAAGAATCCTTCTGCGGCCCACGTGGTCAAATGTTTAGCTTCTAGCCAAAACCCATCCAGAGGCGCCTATAAGATAGCAACTCCACAAATCCAACCCAGAAGGCTTGGTGGTATTCTGAGCCGACTGAATGGTCACAGCCTTTAACCCCATGACACAGTTCTTGTCTATATAGGTGAGGTTTCACTGGGCAGAATTGGCATCACAGCAACTAACAACATTTCAAAGAACGCACAGAGCTTCCATTTCACTACAGCACCTACCATTCTTTACAATCTTATAGTTGGTCCCCTCACTTATTTTGCACCTACTACACTCCTTTTGGAATTGAGTTTGTGGCTCTGTAAGCCTGAATAGCAGTCGAAGAATCCATGCCTCTCCAGGTGCAAACGCTCCTGAGCCCAGGCCTAAGAGGTGCTCTCGTCACAGGTCAGGCTGAGGTGAGAATCTCTATGAATCCATGAAGGAAAGCTCAGGGCTCGAAGCCGTGAGCAGGTAAACAGGAAAGATACGCCAATGTGTCGTTCCATTTGAACGTCATACAGAGTCAGAAAATGACAAAAAACAACAGGGAAATCAAGATATGGATTCATTTATCTTTTGCATCTTCAGGCTATTTCTGCTAGACAGTTCATTTATTTTTACTGGTTCACTGATAAATTGAACCTATGCTACTTATTACTCTATTTGATTATTTCTAGCCACTCTAACTTCAGGTTGTAAATTCTTTGAAGAAAAATATCAGCTGCTGTTCTTTTTCATTTTCTTTACTATTGTCATCACCCCCACATACCAGCAAATTAAAACCATCAACTGGCCCACCCTGTAGAGCTGTGTTCAAGGGGGAGTTTCAACTCGTAGGCAACTGTTGAGACTTTTTCTTGGTCAGGAAATGGTGGAACGTTACAAACCTCTGGTTTTCTCTCATTTTAGGATTTAGAACAAGGCAACGCCATGTCCTCATGGAGCCCACAGGACCAGCTGGATATTGCCCTCATTTGTTGGAATCTGTTCCCTGTGAGGACCCCTTGTGCTATCAATGGCTGGTATCTGAAGGGATCTGTATCCCTGATCATGGAAAATGTGGACTGGGGCACCGTGTCCTGAAGGCCATCTGTCGGGATGACCAAGGTATGAGCAAACAATGCTGAAGTGATATGAATTGGTAGTAACCAACTGACACATTCCCATGCCTTGGTAACCATTTTCCTGAAGGTAAGAGCAGAACCTTTCTTTTATTAAATAGTTTCTTTCAAATCAGGTGTTCCATTGCTATAGAGTAGACTCCTGTGACTTAATATAGGGCTACATTCTTCATAACAAAAGAACCCTTTCTGATTATGCATAACAGTGCTATCATGAGCCTCGGGATTTCTGTGGTGCTTTAATTTATTAAGACAAATGGAAAACAGGAGTCTCCTGTATATTCAATTTATTGGCACAAAACAAGTTTTATTTGCTTTTTGAAGTTAATGTATGATATGCTTTTAGATACTATGGGCAAGGAGGGATCCTCAAGCTACCACTGGATTGACAGACTGGGCTCTCCCTCCACATATTCACACAACTTCAAGTCGACCTAAAATCTATCAGAGTTCTAGATATATACATTTCTAAAGAACTATTTTAAAATGTGTTGTCAACATTTGTAAATCAATTAAAATGGATCATTAAACTTCAAATACAATGGCTGTTCAAAATGAAGGGTGATTTAGAAAATATATAATGGAGTTGAGAAAAATGACAGCTTAAAACTTTATCCTAGAATTAAGAAAAAAAATCAGTATCTTAGAAGAATACAAATTATATATATGTTAATCAGCTTTGACATGAAAATTCCAATCTATATTGCTGTTGATGTGTGAGGAATACAATGTTTTACCTAATGGGGTAAAATAATCAGGCCTTCTAACCTGTTCATTTCAGTTCTACCTCCTATTTATTAAGTGTGTTTCCACTCCATATGCTGAATTCCAATCTGCAGAATGAACAAGAATCTCAGGCGGTGATGATTGATTCCCAGTATACTTAAGAATCACCAGAGGCTCTTGTTAAATGTAGATTCAGATTCAGTAGATCTAGAGTGGAAAGGCAACTCCTCAGCCTGGGGCACAACTGCTCTGAACCTATTCAGAGCCCTGGAAACAATGCCTGTGGGGGAAGGACATTGGGATGTAGCTACAGAATGGACATAACCTGCACACAGGTTCGACTTATCACATAGGTTGTAACCCTCCTTTCCTCTATTTCCTTTGTGTGTTCTTTCCCTTTAACTGCTGCCATGATTAGAGATATACATTTTAACAAGTCATGAGTATGTTTGGTATCTTGCTATCAGGTGACTGGTTGCTAATGAGAGGGCCATAACACTTTGTATTTGCTCTGAGAGCTCTTTTGTCAAAATAATTACAACTGATAGTAGCTACTTCTTAAAGTACCAAATAATTTTTAAATCATGGTAACCTATGTGTGATTTAGTAGCAGAGACTAATACAATAACTTTCTAATTACTTTTCTTTGAAGTTAGGGAGAGTAGCATAGAGCAGCCCTGGTGGCATAATGGTTTGGCATTGGGCTGCTAACTGCAGGGTCACTAGTTTGAAACCACCAGCCACTCCAAGGTAGGAAGATGGGCTTTTCTACTCCTGTAAAAAGAGTTACAGTCGCTCCAGCTGCAAGAACTTCTCAAACCATTACCAAGAACTCCTCAAGATGCCTAGCACAATGTAGGCACTCAGTCTGTGGAAATAACGAATCAAAGTGTTGTGACCTGGTATCAACATGTCCATTGTCAGGGTCCCAGGTAACCACATATGTAGTGGCGGGCGAGA